ATAAATTAGTCGGGTTATTTAACTTTTTTCTTTGCTACAGAAATCCATATATTTTCCTTTATTTATTTGGTATTTGATCTTCTGTTTATAAAATGTAGAAAGTAGTAAAAACACACTGAATGAGATGGCATGTCCAAACCTCTGACTGGTATTGTATATTGACTTGTAGTTTATATCGGCTGTACACAACCAGCCACTAGAGGGCCCCTGACATGTTTCATCTTGCACATTTTCCCAACGAGCATTTAGTTTGGCTTTAACTGTCTTCTTCCACATGCGCTAATAGCCCCATCACGCTCACAGGAGACACCCACCGCCCCTGCTCCTCGGGGCTTTGAGCAGGTGCACTTGGTCGTCTCCTCACGAAGCCTCAGTGTCCCTGGTGGAGATTATATTTACTCTGTGCTGCCGTAAGCATCTTCCCTGACAGATTATATGAATTAAGGTCTTATTATGGGCGCGGGCCAGGAGCTGCATGTACCAGTGATTTGTAATAAGGGCATTGGCGAGGTGAGTCAGCAGTGAGTGGCCTGATTACAACAGTCGGACCTAGGGAGAGAGCGCTTTGGCACATCCTTGGTAAACGACAGAACCAGAGGGAAGGACGGACAGAAGAACATCACACGACCAATTAGTAATATCATCCCACCCAAACATAGAAAGAGGAACAAAGACACCGAACTGATTCATATTACTTACTTGCAGCAAATTATCTTGATGGAGATGGTTGTCATTAAAATATCTATGTGGCATTTATTTGATTAAAGGTGGTGTTAAAAATGAATAAAGAAAAATGTGTGTCACCTGTCCACAGATCTTACTTGTAACTTGGCCGAGTGGCGTCACTTGGTCATTTCCATAGAGAGAGATGTTTAACATCATATTTTGTTTAGAGTTGGATTCAGTTCCTTACTGGGAAACTTTAAACATAGAATTGATCTTGTTAATTTAATTATTACCCTTGGAAAACATTTCATTTTCAAAGCAAAAAAAATCAATTCTCACTTAATATTAATTTACCAATACTTAACATGGGAAGGATTTACAATTGAAATAGACAAATAGAAAAAAAAAAAAAAAAAAAAGAAAAAAAGAGAGAGATGGGAAGTTCCATATGGAATATACAATTTCAAAAAAGTCAGGAATTTTAAAATGTTCGGTCATAAGGATTTAAAGTAGCGACTTAAAATATAGTTAATAAGGGAAATATAGGTATTCATAAATCCACTATTTATAGTAAAAAAAAATATATATATATATATAATAATAATAATAATTACTTCTACTACTACTACCATTACTTCAACTACTTCTAATAATAAAATAAGTTATTGTTGTAAGTACTGTAATTAATAGTGGAGACAACAATAAGTATTATTGTTATTGTTGTTGTTGTAATAATTATAATAATTATAAAGGAAAAAAGGGAAATGTCTTTAAAATGATGCTTTGAGATTGTAATAAATTAAAATAAAAAAATTATGAAAGGAAATAATGACGGTGAAAATAATATTAGTTTAAGTATAGGGACTAAAAATGTTTGTCACAATAAAATGTCAGACCACAATACACAAGAAGTAGTAAGAGTAGTACCTTCATTTTGTCACTGTACACTGGGTCTGATAAGGCTTCAAATGATTCATGTTTACATCTTTGGATTTCTCCAGTGAGAGAGATAGTTCTTGTTTAATTTGATGTTTGTTGGTTCAGAATTATACAAACAGAAATTGATCAATATTTGTTTTTTCTATTTGTTAAATGCAAGGAAACTCTTGGAAGTTATTTCATTGATTTTTAAGATAACAGATACAATAAAAAAAAATGTAAAATAAAAAATAAATAAATTAAATTAAATAAAATTAAATAAAACAAACTTATAGCTCTTTTCTGGTCAAAGGAGCAATTACTAATATCATCCCAGCCAAACACAGAAAGAAATAAGAACAAAGACACAAAAAGCCCAGTTTGGTTCATAGTACTTAATCAATGTTTTATATTTTTGTAGCAAAATGTCACACAGAAACAGTAAATTTTTTCCTCATTTTTGTTTCTAGAAGTGAGAATCTTCACGTCAAGTCAAGTTTACAATGAAATTTGTATTCTTGGACAGCTTTCTGAAAGAGGGGCGATTTGAAGAATGTCACATATTGGTCACATTTTTGACAATTTCATACCATGCATCTTTTACACGGCCCTGTTAAAGCTCACTGGGTTTTATATTATATTATTGTATATCTGTCAGGAGTGTGAAATCCTATAATACCTATGTGAATACTGAGTTAACATACATAGGCTTTATTGACAATCTTTCAATCTTTGTTCCCAACGTACCATTTTCCTCTCTTTATTTTGTTCGAATTATAGGTCTTATATATGTACTTAATCTCACTGTTATAGTCCATTGAGCTTTTTTCTACACCTTTAATTTCTTGACATCGTTTCTGCCTCTGTCAGAAAGCTGTGGAACATGTTGACCAAGTTGGTACACCACAGGAAAGCACCTTCTCACTGTTTTGTTTCACATGAAAATAAAATAACTACATCTTTTAATATCCCTCTTTACATTCTCACCCATTATTGTACAAAAATGTCTCTATACATCATGGTACACCCTGTGAAGAAACGACAATTCAAAAATAAAAACAGTCAACAAAAACCATGGGCCCCACCTTTTTTTTTTCAAATGCAGCAGGAACTTGCAGGAGATGAAGAAGGCATCGGTATGTGTTTAGGATCTCATCATTTTGAGAAAGCAAATAACACAGCAATTCATTTAAAAGTGTCTAACTGCAATGTACAGCCATGTATGATAATATATGTATCAAAAAAGGATTTATCAGATCAGTGCAAATGATGACAAAAGGTATGTTCTGATTTGGGACTTATTTTGACACCCAGACTTTATGAATATTACGTAAACTTGGGTCAGTTTAATGAACATTTTTTATCAGTGTTATCCTTCTGTTTTAATGCTTGGTGTTAGATGAGTCATTAGTTACAAGTCCAACTTAGATTTGATGTTATTATGTTCTTTTTGCAAACTTTCAAACCACATTTAAAGGTGCACTGTATAACTTTTCTAGCAGAGGGTCCGTCAAATGCATTAAACCTTTCTCTGTTCATGGAGACCAAACCAGACAAAGTTACAGGTCAGATCTGTGGAGAGAAAACCCTACTCACAGTCAGAATGTTTGTTTTTCTATGTATCTTTGTGCTATAAAATCATTTGTAATTGAATAAAGGCAGTGGCGGAGTTAGTTAGGAGTTTGGGGGCCCTAGGCGAACTTGAGTTTGGGGCCCTCACTCTAATGCAACTTTTTTATTTATTTATTTATTTTTTATATTTATTGTCTGTTTTTCCCCATTGTTCTGAAGACATGCACATTTCTATTTGAATTATGATGGATTGGAAACGTGTCTTATTAGTTCATTCGCCTACTACATAATCAGAACTGGAAGTAGTTTTATTTTTTTGCTACTACTCTCGTTTGGTATCATACTGAGAGAAAATCTAATTGCTCTGAGGCCTTGACCATTAGTGGCACTGAGGGTAACTGGTTAGGGGCCCCTCCAGATTTGGAGACCCTAGGCGGCCGCTTGCATTTGCCTAATGGTAGCGCCGCATCTGAATAAATGTAAAGTTCAGCTGTTTAATGTCATACTGTGGAACATTCCAGGCAGAGCAATGACATATCCATAGAAACAAGAAGATGACGGGCTCCCAACCAAAAAGTTACACGGTGCACCTTTAAGTGAAACTCCCATATGCACTGTCCACTGTCCAAGAGTTAAGACACTGTCCCACTAAACCAAAGTTTCGCTCATTATTTCCAAAGTTAGAGCCGTAGTTCTGATTTATAACAGTTATTTCCCAACAGTATTACGTCTAGGTGAGATAGCAATTATTGTCAACCCTTGGGATCTAACCCACAACCTTTAGTGAATAAGCAGGAGCATACGTCTTGTTATGTGTCAACCAGGCAATGTCTGAGCCTCCAGAAAATGACTGATGATTTTCCAAATTTATTGAGTTGGCTTATACAAGGTTGTACGACTGTCACCATCCGGACTCTATGTTATAGCAACACATTTCCTAAATTCTTACCCTAAGGCGGAACTGGCCACTGTCTGACAATCCAATGCCACCAATTGGAGAGCTAAAAATATGAATATAGCAGAATCAAACTTGAGCAAGAAATTATACCACTGTCTCTAGCACTTGGGAATGACCAAAACATGTATCTGTGCTTTAAATGACAAATTTTGTGCTTTTAGCTTGTATTTTATGTTACTTTTCATTGCAAATAACCTCATATTTTAAGGAACCTGAGGTAGAAATACAAGCCCGGCTGTTCATTGTAGCCATACCAAATTGTGCTGTCAATTTAAGTCTAAAAACACTTGTAATTGGTGCTAAGAGGCGAGTGGGGTAGCGGGTAGCCGTGTGCCAGTCTGCGGATGAACCCAAAATAATAAATAGTAAAAATGATAGAAAAAACACAGATGAAAATAAACATTGTTCTAAATTTCTATACTCTCATTATAGGTCCTTCTCTGTAGCTGTAATAGTCCATGAAAGGTCTGAAACGCTGAGGTGTGCCACCAGTTCACCGGAGTCTGGGGAAATCCTCTTCATTCAGTTCCTTTGATACAGATGTAGCAAAAATCCACTTTAAATTCAACAACTCCGACTGCCCCCATCCTCTGGAGTACTCACATCCCGGCCATGGATTCCAAATAATTCCACAAGATCCGTATCGACACAATAAATTCCATGTTATTTTGAAACACTCACATTTATTCTGACTTGTTTGTCTGTGTGAACGGTCAGATAGAGATCATAGCCACCTTGAAGTGTCTTGTCTCACACAGTACTCCAATGGATAGAGTCATGCAATACCCCAGGCAAATCCCCCAGGCAGGATCTCCCATTCTTTGTGCTCTGCTCTCCTTCAGGTTCTTATAGAGATTTAGAGATCGCCGGCGGACCATAGTTATCCTCAAACTGTGCTTTCCATCACCCACTCCGAGCTCTCAAATGCGGGTTTCTCATCCTCACTACTGTCATACTGCAGCAGCATGCCGTTCACCGACAGACTGCGTTTAGTCCAGATATTACTGATCCTGCGTGGATAGTTACCGCGGGACTGCGCTCCGCCCACGTGGCCCATGTCAAACGAATGGCTCCTTTTGGGCTTCCCTTCCTGGGGCAGTCCAAGCAGTCGACCCAGCATGGTGGTAGACTCAGCTCTCCCCAGAAGAGGCTCTTTATCAGATGAAGCTTTAGCCACTGCCATCGCTGTAGAAGCCGTAGAGGGTCCAGACGTACTTTGGCTGTCCCTTGGTACCCCTCGCAGCTCCAGAGAGGTAAAAGCCCCTAAAAGATTGTCCAGATTGGGCCGTGCTTTCGCCCCGTGCCTCCTGAACTTGCTACTGGGCAGGGTGCTGCACTCGCTCCCCTGCATGCTGTAGCGGTCAGCCGGGCCTCTCACGCCGTGGCCGTCCAGAGAGTTTGATGAAGAGGAGGATGAGGATAGGCTACTTTGAAGAGATCCGCACTTGAACTCCACCATCTCCTCCCGCATCACTACCACCGTGGACTTCACCTGCGGGGGGGCGCCGTTAAATCGGTTCAAGCCCCCGTTGGTCTGTGAATACGTGTTGCTCATGACAGGAAGTTTGTTAGTTTGGATGCCGCTGGTCACTTTGTAGCGAACCATGAGGATAATGATGAAAACGAGAAGGGTGGCGACAATAATGCCCCCGATGACCAGAATCATAGTACCCCCCATGAAGCCGCTGTGCAGAGACTGGCACTGGGGGTAGTCGTCACGGGTGATAAACTGGACGCAGCCCACGATGTTGGTGGCAGTCAGGGTGGTGGCAGTATCCTCCCAGATGGCCAGGACGCACAAGTCGTACTGCATCCCCGGGACAAGGTTAGTCACAGAGAAGGCCCGGTTACTCATGGGAATCATCCTAAAAGAGAAACAAAAGAGGAAACATTAGTGGAGCATTGGTAGTTTAGCCTGATTCCTCAGCTGGTTTCACTTTGTGGAAATTGTCTGACCTTGCAGCAGTAGAATTCGTACGCTCAATGGTAAGTGGGTACTTTTTTTATTTAACCAATCAGTGCTATTTGGTCGTGACGTATGTAATGCACCGCTAATGTGGCTAACCGGTATATTAAGCTTTTCCTTAATCCCGTAGGAAGGAAGGACAATAACATCTTTCCCCTTGATAAAATTCACCAAACATTCTCTTTGTTCTGGCTTTAAATCCTTGATCTCAACACAGAATATATGGCTCTTCGCTGATTGGCTGGTGCCCAAACTCACACTTCTGGGGTCTTTGTGAACCATCTAATGTATTCCGATTCCTGACCTAGTTGCTGGAGAGAAATGAAAGTGAGCGGAGGCACTAGGTGGCGCCAGCCTGGCTATTGGCAGTTGGCATAGATAAGAAAAGATAACAAAGGTTGGTGAAAGTTATTCTGAAATGTACATTTGTAGAAGTATGTATCAGTTGGTAGAGGTTTTGTTCACTGACCCAAATGTTGGTGGTTCAAATCCCACTCTCAACATAAACATCATTGGTAAAGCGGTCGAGCCACTGACCCACAGCTCCCAGAGATGAATACTGCCATTGTGTCCTTGCGTAAGACACTTAACCCACCTCGCCCCCACTATCTGTGTACACTGGTGTATGAATGTGTGTGTGAATGGCTGAGTGATTCCTTGATGTAAAGCATTCTGAAAGCCTTGAAGGTGGAAACGCGCTATATAAAAATGTGACAATTTACCATTAGAAATAATAAAGGACATTTCGTGAAAGTGACATTTATTTCATTTCTCTCATTCCTATCCGTTAGCTTTTCATTCTATTTTATATTCTTTCATACTTTTACATTAATTATGATAGGCTAGATTATGCAAGATTAGCACAGAGACGGCCCTGTGATCTTTTCAAATCAAATCTATTAACACTTTATTGCCATTTTGCCCTACAAAGTATACGACCGCACAGACAGGATGAAATTTGTTTCTCCATTAAATTAGAAGCATGAAATCAAGTATAAAGCAAAGGGCCATCATGTGTGGGAGAGTTATTTTAATTAACATGCACAATTAAAGGAGCGGCACCATTTTTTTATGTAATAAAGTCTCTTTAGCTCCAGTGCTGATATACTGTAGAAGCAAAATTGTCTTCTCTATTCTGTCTGCATCTAATGAAAGAGAATTTTTGATCGGTGAACCAGGAAGGGCTTTGTTAGCATGCTAGTTGTTGTTAGCATAGGCAAAACTCCTGAAAGCAGGGAAAACTGTTTATAAACTCTTTGCAGTGAATAATTTGGATAGCCTGATTCATCAGCCGGTTTCACTTCGTGGAAACCGTCTGACCTCGCAGCATTAGGAGTCATATTTGGTCGTGACATATGTAATGCAAGTCCTGTAGGAAGAAGGGCAATAACGTCTTTCCCCTTGATAAAATTCAACAAACATTCCCTTTGTTCCAGCTTTAAATCCTCGTTCTTGGAAATCGTTGCCAACACAGAATGTCCGTCTTCATCTAAATCCACCTCGACCGCTTTGTTTACTGTTGTGTTGTACCACAAAAGGGACCCAGACAGGCACTTGAGTTTGACTTCATGGCTTCACAGCTCTTCACTGATTGGCCGGTGCGCTGTCTACAACAATGGTGCTTTCAAACCATCTAGATTTGCTGGAGACCCTGGCTATAATTTGCATGCTAGAAATACAAAGGTGAGGAATAACTTTGAACCATGGTTAAAAATGAAAAATAAACTGTTTCAAACATTTTAACGAAAAAGAAAGAGCACAGAATCACCTTATCTTAGTTAGAACTTGTTTTAAGACTATTAAAATCAAGTAAGTTCTCAACAGTTGCTTGCTTAGCTTGTGGGAACAGATTCATCGGTCCTAGTGTATGGCTACGTTTGAGCAGGGGAGCAGCCAGGATTTAGTCAACCATATTGCAATAGGCGATGTATAAATAGATCATCCCTTCTTTTGCTGGCCGGTCTTTCTTCCCAGCACAAGCATCCATAGCTTTGATCCCTCCCAAGCATCTCCTTGCTGAGCCCAGACTCCATTGGGGCTGCAGTTCATTATTCATCCTTAATTGCCTTTTTCCATAAGCAGTGAGAAGGCGCTCTGCCTCACACTTTTGGGGGTCTCACACCATCTCTGCCATCCCTCCACACGACGTGATTGATTTTTAATTATGCCTCAGCCGGAGCATGGACAGTGCCCTGGGACCTTATGTAGGCCAACAAAAGGCATGTGATAGGTGTGCATGTGTGAGTCCGCAGACTTATCAATATTCAGTTTAGAAAAGCACGTAGTGTCCCTGTGCACAATACTCACCGTTCCCACTGTCTCTCGCGTACCAAGAACAACAGAGCATTCAGGAATATCTGAAATCCCCCAAAACCAAAATGTCCGTGCAACGTGATCTAGTGTTGTTACAAAAATTACATTTCAAACTCTGTTTGAATACAAAGGGAAAGGTTGGTTACAATTTTTGATGCCCCAATGATAATAATAAACTTTTTACACAACTGAGTGTAATTTCAGCACAAAATAATAGTAATTTCAGCAATATTACCATGAGATCTTAGACTATTTGAACATCAAGATTATACTAAAGCGGTTCAGGGAGTGCCCAATTTTGTCCAATAGGGTGACAGTAGCTCAGTTGGTAGTGTGTTTGTCCACTGATCTGAAGATTGGTGGTTCGAATGTTGTGCCTTTGGGCAAGTGGCACTGGTGTATGAATGTGTGTGAATGATTCCTTGATGTAAAATGCTTTGAGTAGCTTGAAGGTGTAAAAGTGCTACATAAAATTACCATTTACTCTTTGTTTGTATCAATACTTGTCTTGATTAAATGTGTCTATTTGTGGTCTGAAGATCACAGCCATCAGTGCTGACACAATGAATGCACACTTTTTACAAATTTGTTCACAGAGCGGCCCAGAATCAGCCAGGAACGTAGCAGAAATAAAGCTATTCTATATGCTTGCGTATGCAGTATTCAGGTTGCCAAACACACATTTACAAGACTGCTGAATGGATTGTGGCTCCTTAGAGGAAATAATATATCGGCGTTTCACATTTGTGGAAAACTTGCCGAAAGTCAGCGAGCAAAACAATCTCATAGAAACTGTTATTAAATCGGCAGTGATGTCATGCTGCAATCACAGAATCCAACAAAAGTAATATTAGTCTTCATCACAGTGTACAGTCCTAATCTGATTTGCCCGGATAATAGCCAGCATATTGCCTTTCCATACCCCATTTTTTTATTTAATTAAAGAGCGTTTGATGAAATGCAAACTGCTGCAGGGAAATTGTGCCAGCATTTAATTTGTTTTTGACTGGGATGCTGCTATCGTCTCTGGGGTTTTAATATGTCTAATTTTAACATTCTAGAAGTCCCGACTGAAGAAATATACAACCACTTTTCATTTCTTGTTAAAAAGGGGCCAATTCTTGATACTTGTTTAAACTGTGCTTTGATTTAAATCTGAAAATATTGGCAACACTGAAGTAGTGCAGATTTCAGTAATATCATCCAAATCTTTGACCATTTATTATTATTTTTTTTAACCTTATATTGGTAAAATTTAAGATCATTTCCTGTTTCATTTGACATAATTAATATCTTTTTTTCTCTTCGCAACATCTTCAGTTGTGCTTTGAACATCTATAGATTACATTAAATCGAGATCAAAATGTTTTTCCTTTTTTGATTAGTTTGCGGCATGGGTTTCATTTGGGCTTTCTGTTCCCTCTCAACTCAAGATTCATCTGTTGGTTTAAAATGTCCTGTCTGATAGAAATATTTGGGCAAAACTGAAGAAACAAAAAGACAAAAGAACGAAAATAATGCCTCTACATGCAGTATATCATGTACCAAAATGAGCAGATGACCATGAAATCTCATTATAACTCTGACGCCTGTATCACAACGTACCTGTAAATGAGAACTTCATCTTCTGAACAGTTGTATTGAAGCTGGTACATTTTCACTTTTGGCGTAGTTTTCGTGACAGTCCACCGGATCAAAGCAGATACCGCAGTAACATCAGACACAGTTACCGCCTTCTCTGGTAGTGGTTTGGGCTCCCCTTTGCTGACCTTGGTGGAGCTTGTTATATCGGAGAGACCGGATTTAGCTTGTGTTGTGCGATTGGTTCCATTACTCCTATGGGGGATCTGGATGATTGACAGCTCGATCGAGGCTGTAGACTCCCCAGCGGCGTTAGCGGCTATGCATGTAAAAGTCCCATAATCCTTTGCGGTTGTGATTGTAATGTCCAAGGTGCCGTTTTCGTAGACGGTTGCTCGGGAAGAGTTGCTGATCAAACGGTCGTCAGGGGCAACCCAGTGCACGGTCGGCATGGGGTCTCCTACAGCTTTGCACCGAAGGCTAGCGGTCTGTCCTTCAAGTACTAGCAAGCGGTGGGTGTGTTGAGTGATGAGAGGAGCTTCGCAAACAAATTCTTCCTCACGGACCGACCAAAAGTAGCGTCCCTTGAGACTGGGAGGAGAAGCACAGGTCTCCATGTCGTCCTCGCGGTCCAATCTGCGAAGCCATAACACCTCACAGTTACAGTGCAAAGGGTTCCCTCCAAAACTTAGAGAAAGCGGAGGTGCAAAAGGAGTGCTCGTAACTATTCCACTTTGAGATCTGGCAAATATAGGGTCGGGCGGGAGTTTTTGAAGCCGATTGGAGGTGAGGTCCAATCTGGCAAGTTTCTCTAAATCTGTAAATGTCCCTTCTGCGATAAAGGATATAAGGTTATGGTCCAAACTCATCTGATGAAGGTTGACCATCTGGCGTATGGCTTCCCAAGGCACGGTGCGCAAGTTATTATACGACAAGTCCAGATCTTCTAGAGTTAGTAACAAATCTTCGAAGGCTGCATTGTTGATACGGTTAAGTTGATTGTTGTTGAGAATGAGGTGCTGGAGGTTTACGAGCCCTCTGAGATCGTCCGGCCCCAGTTCTGTCAACCGATTACTATCCAGATGTAGTGACCTCAAAGTCTCCAGGTCAATGAATGAGAAAGGCTGGATGGCGCTGATTGTGTTGCGAGATAGGGTCAGATCCACCAAACCCGTCATGTTGGCAAAGTCCTGAGTGGTGATTTTGAGAATGAAGTTCCCGCCTAGTCGGAGTTCTACAGTGTGCCTGTCGATGTCCGGTGGGACGAAGAGCAGCCCTTTGGATGGGCACAGTGTTCCCAGAGACTCGGACAGGTTCTGGCAGACGCAGTATTTGGGACATGCATGGACCATGGTGAGAGCGCTTCCCAGGAGCAGGAGGCTGAAGACCACTTTGTCCATGGTAGTTCACAGAAAGGGGACCTAAGCAAACAGAAAAAAAAAAAAAAAAAAGTTTATTATGACATATTTTCTTAATTAGCAACACAATTTATCATTCACAAGAGGTTTCTTCACCACCTTTAATGAACATGAATGAGTACGATGTTGAATATTACGGTATCAGGACTATGGTTAAAGGGACAGTACAGAATTTTGGACATAGGACCTCATTTCCTCACATGACCTGCCACTAAAACAGTCTTACCCACTCCACAAAGCACCGGAGGCTAACCTATTACAACAGCAGACTGTCGATGTAAATGTCTTACAAGCTTTCTATCAGTAAGTACAACTCGCTGCTACTGCTCAGACATAAATCTTTAATATGCAAGGTTGGTTTTACTTCTAAAATTATTCTATCAACACAGACATTTACACTGACAGTGTGGTCTAATAATAGTTTTGCGTCAGGTGCTGTGTGGAGCGGGTAAGACTGTTTTTAGTGTCAGGCTAACTATGGCCATTGATATGCACTAGCCTAGCACCAGCGACCTCTGCAAATACAAGGACTGGATGGAATATTTCTCCAACACTAACTAGGAAATGAGGTCCTATGTCCAAAATTCAGGACTGTCCCTTTAAAGGGGTAAAAGGACCTCAAGTCACTCACAAGTCAAGTGTATTTTACCTTGTATAAAAATATCCAAACATCATGCAAATCATGTAATACCAAGGTAAATTATTTACCTCTGAAAAGAATATCCATAAGCATAGATTTTGTATTTAATTCAGTCCTTTACGGTATATTGTTGCTTATCACTGCAGTTTTTAAGTTTGTTTTCAATTATCTATCTTTTGTCTTTTTGTTTGCATGTAACTATTCACCGGCTGTGTATTACAACACTGGATTTCCCCACTATTTTTCAACTGAGTGTGACTGTGGATACTCTCCATCAATGTCAGTTTCAATCGGCTGTTGATGCCCATTGAGATTCCCTATTATAGCTCTGATTAACATAGATTTGCAATGGTAAGAAGGTGTGAGAAATTATCTGAGCCTTGTTTGAAGGCCGGGATTAAACAGTGCTACGGAGCTATTTTCGATGACACACATACTTGTAAGCTGTCATCACGAAAAAGTGTTAAGCAGTCCATGCACAAGACTTATAGTGTAGGACATAGAGAGACAGCAGCAGTGTAAAGTAGTTCATCAGTATGCCGGACCACCTTCCCATTTGAATGTAAACAAGCAGAGCATCAAAGAGCCCTGTTTCTGCTGACTCTCAGACACAGCTCTTCCTTTTCATAACAATGTTTATGTCTCCACTCTTTCTGCAATCTACTTCCTCCAGTGTGTCACCCGTGTTTGGGCAGCAGATAATACAGTGGAAAAATATTGGCCGAGCGGCAGGTTTCGGCCTTGGCAGACGCACTGAAAGCAGCATGGCCCCCGTCCTTACAGCATTCGCGCCAGTCCGGTCCAGAAACACATTTGAACAGCTGTGGTTTTGGAGGTGAGCTGACCCCGCATAGTCAAGTCATCACTATTTTTCTTCCCAATTAATCTATGTCATGAAAAAAAAAGTAAAGCCACAGATAATATCATGAGATAACTATGATAGCAGTTTTAGATTTAAAATAAAGGGTTCAGATATATTGTGCATCCACTGGTTTAATCAGGGCTAAAAGGTGGTAAAACAAGATGCATAATGTTACTGGCTTTGTGGTCTATTATCTTCACACTGCCTGTCTTTATAACAACACTCTATGTCCACATGTTTTGAACAATTGACCTCTTTTCCTCCGATGTGTCACCAGTGGATAATGCAGTGTAAAAATATTGGCCGAGCGGCAGGTGTTGGCCTTGGCAGGTGCAGGCCTTGGCAGGTGGTGGCCTTGGCAGGTGCACGGAAACAGCGTGCTCCTGTGAACATTGGAACAGCCCGCGCACACATGGTCACATCCACGCCCAGCTTCATCCAACAAGATTTTAATTCTCCCAGACATTTGTATCATTAATTACTAATACTCTGCAAAGCTAAAAATCAATTTTAATCTCTTTTACAGCGCCAATGCTTATTAAAAAGTCCAGCATCCTGATAAAAGGTATGCATCTGAGGCGTAATGTGAATGTTAAACAACCGGTGAATATTGATTTGTGATTGTTTGTATATTGTATGTAAGGATTTCTGAACAGCATAAGTGTGTTCACATATGTGTTCAATGTTATGTGCAGATAATAATGAATAAATTATTATCTGCACATAACAGATAGGCGAAGCTACAGGTCAGATCTGTGGAAAGGCAAGCCCACTCGAGCAAGAGTGCAAGTATTTTCCAGTGATAACACCTCTAATTAAATAACACTTTAAGTTTAATGCAGGGGTCACCAAACTTTTTTTTTTCTCTGGGGGCCACATTATGGCTTCTGATTGTGATTCGGGGTTGGGTCGGCCGTATAACAGAATTGTATGACCCTGATGACGCAGATTATATTCTTTGAAAACCTCCACACTTTCTTTACATATCAGACAAACTGCACGCTCCTTACACTGAACAAAAAAAGAATAGCTTGTCCACTGTTCTTTGAAAACTTCGCATTCTCTGTCAACTTTTTGTACTTTCACACGAGTCATTTTGCTGTCCTTAACTGCACTACAGAACTCTGCACGTGCGTTGACTGTCACTGTTTGATCCCGAGTTTGTCAGGTGACAAAAATTCAGTGGCAAATGTAAATATGTCATATGATTATTTAAATATTCATATAAATACTTCATATAAATATAATTTTTAATTGAAAAAAAAAAAAACAAAATACAAGATGCAGACATGTTATTATTTGCCAAATAGTAATAAAAAAAAAAAGAAAAAAAAAAGACCATGACAACTTTTGAGGATTGCCTCATAGGACCAGTTCAAGAGTTGCTGGGAGGCCAGTCAAAGGGGCGTGGAGGGCCCGAGTCCATCCGTGAGCCTTAGTTTGGTGACCCCTGCTTTAAATGTAAGTATCTGCATACAGACACCAAGACAAGTGAGTGACACCAACAGGCTCAGCTACAAGTCCGATGTGTGGAGAAGCAAGCCTGCTCACAGAAAGAGTGCAAGTATTTTCCACTGAGAGCAACTGTAATTAACTAAGACATGAAGTTGAATGTATTCTGCGGAATATTACAGACCAGCAACACCACCTAATCAAAAGTATGGCATATTAAAACAACCTTTCTTAACAATGTCCTATTTTGTACCTTTGTAATATGACTACAAAACATAAGAGGCAGTAATATTTAGTGGAAAGAGCCTGAGCTGTTGTCTGCACATTTTACAAAGTACTGCTAAATTGGACATGAGTAGTACCCGGTGTTGGTGCCAAATAAAACAGGGGGTCCTTGTATGATATGTGTGCTGCGAGCTCCAGCAGACACTCAAAGCTCACAGTGTTAACATCGCTGTAATTTACACCCTGCAGTTGAAAAGACGCACAGGCCACCAGTCAATTCTCAACTCTTAACAACATCCATGACTTGACAGCTTCTGCACAACACCAGTGACGAAGAGCCCCATCACCGCCGCAACATCTTTGGATCCTAAATTTAATTGCGAGCATATGCTGCTTTAAAGTCTGACATGTAAATCCAAATGGCTAATTGTTTTGTTTTACATCTGGACGTTTCCCCGGTACAGCTTGTTCCTGTGAAGCCAAAATCAATCAACGCACAGGAAAGAAAGTGTGCTCTGGTGAAACAAATAATTGCAGGGTTGATGCATACAGCGATGACCCTGTCAGCACAGCGGAGCTAATCCTTGTCCTGCCGCATGGTGAGAGCTGTCAGCGCACACATACTCTCTCCTATGGATTCATTATAACTCAAGCGCAGGAAACAGCTCCCACCCTATGCACTGTGAGTCCAAATTTGCTGGCTGTCTTGCTTTTGATCTTCCACTCCAAAGCAAAAAGAACAACTGTGGACTGAAGAGATGTTTGAAATGGATATGTGTTATCTGAAAGTCATGGCTAAGTTCTCCTTCTTATTTTACAGAGAATTCTTGTAACAGGACTCGGGAGTGGCCCTGTCAGGGAGAGGTGAGAGTTTATACTGTCACTGAGATGCGCAGAGGATGTTTGATTCATGCTGGCTATACACTATATGGCATTGTTATTGGAAAATGTCCCTATATTGCACAAAACTAAACTAGTTTTGATGCAGTAATATAAGGTTTTCATACTGAGAGAAATGTAGAAGAATTTCAGGCTACGTTTATATGATGACGGTCTGAACAGAAGACGCAAAAGTGGCGTCGCGTCTTCACATTTTTTTCTGCGTTTAGAAGTATGTGTGCATACGGTGACGCAAAAGTGTGTGGAATTCGATTGGGTATGCATTCAGTGTTACACCCTCGATGTAAAGTCGAAGTTCTTCACTTAATGCAACAAGAGCATCTTACGGAAATTTTCATGTCACACATTTTCATCAGCTACTCCTTCCACAAAGTTGTCCTACCATCGTCTGGTTCACCTGCGTCCAACTGGTGAACCCAAAATTTGACAGAGGTGATTGCACATCCTTCTCTGTTCACTAATAGTATCTCTGCATATTCTGTACATTTGTTGGGAGCCTCCTGTAAGTTTAGACACATGGAAATGATCTGACATGTTTGTTTCTGTATGTGACGTAAACATGTATGCGGCATGAGCAGATCTGACCAGAGTTTTGTGTCTTGGGCAGTGTAGACAGAAACCCTACGGTGGAGCATATTCAACTTTTCCACTTTGGAGGGTGGTTTCAGATTTTTGTGTTTATAAGTCCCAAAAACGCTGTCACCATCTAAACGAAAGGCACTTTGGATAAAATATTTTGTTGTTTTTACAAGCGTTCTCGTGTAAACAGGCCCTCAGTGGCTATAAATGTCAAAACAAAAATATTACATTATTATGTGATGCCATATTGTACTACAAGGGTTCCACTGTGTTTTTAAACTCCATGCACCTTCACTAGAATCATTTGGATGAATTTAGCCTTGAAATTGC